TAGGGCTTGGGGTTGGGGGTTTGGGGCATAAGGTTTACGGTTTCAGGTTTAGGGCTTGGGGTGTAGAGCGGCAGGGCCTAGGGGAAGCAAGGGTCGTGTGAGGTAGACGGTATTTGGGTTAGGCCCCCACCCAGCAATAGTCACATAGTTGTAGCCTTAAGATACTTGTTATGATTCCCTGGTTGTCACTAGTAGTGGGAGGTGGCCCAATGTAAGGGGGGGATCTTGGTTTTTTTTGCATCGGGCCTTGAGGGATTTGCTTGCGACTTTGAGAGTATAGGGTTTTGGTGACTTTCCCACCTGGCTTCCCTTGCCGCACCATGCCTCAAGTCTGGATCTGAAAAAAGTTCATACTTAGGACTCCTGCATCACCATTGAAGGCCCCAAACTTCACCAAACTCTTCTTGCTGGGCTGGGCGGGGTTGTCTCAGTTTGATTTGGCCGCGAACAGAGAGCTCAAAAATCGTTTCAGTCAACGCAACCGCTTGCGTCACTCATTGCTTGTTGGTAGTGCAAATAGGAAATGCAGGCATGGAGTAGCCCCTACATATAACCGCCAATTCCATAGTAGTTTCCATTTCCCTTCTCCATTCCTTCCCTAATATCCACCCAATACCCTGCCCCTTTAACCCCTAAACCCTAAACGCCCCAAACCCTCAATCCTAAACATTGGCTCCCATCATTTGTCCGTTCCTTATCTTCCCAAAGGCTCAAGTACTTAATAGGGATAATATTTACCCAGAACCTGTACTAAAGTTAGTAGCACCCAAAGCCCAAGTACCCAATTATTGGGTACATGGACCCTCCTAAGCCATATACCCTAAACCCTAGATACATGGACCCTCAAGAAAATCCAGATGAGTAGTATTTTATTTGGGGATACTATGGTACCCAATATGGAGTAAGATTATATCCTTCTTTTGGGGTATGGTATTTTTTGTAAGGAGTATGAAATTACTGGGTTTAACCACCAAAAAAACGCTACCCAGATGTTAGGGTAGCACTAACCGTAAGAAACCCAAGAAGGCCAAGGTTGGTTTGACTGTCTTTAGCCATCTTAGGGTTTAGGGTTTGGGTTTAGGGGTTCAGGGTTTAGGGTTTTAGGGGGGTAGGGGTTTAGGGTTTAGGTTTTTAGGGGGGTGGGGGTTTAGGGTTTTAGGGGTTTAGGGTTTAGGGTTTTAGGGTTTTAGGGTTTAGGGTCTATAGGGTTTGGGTTTAAGGGTTTGGGGTTTGCGTTTGAGGGTTTAGGCCATAGGGTTCAGGGTTTGGGTTTTAGGGTCTTTGGTAGACGTGCCATCGTCGCACTGAGTTAGCGCTTCATTGGACCGGAGAATGCACCAGGGCCCAAGAACCCTGAACTCTTTGCCCTAAAGCCTGAGCACCTGGCACTGGGGATTCCGCACTCCCACGAAAAAACAACAGTCACATGGGGCCTTGTGGTAAAGAGATGTTCTTGGAGACCCCAGTGATATGCAGTGTACGGGCGGTATAGGGGTCCCAAACATGGAGGACCTTGTAGCATAGGGGTAGGGTTTCTGAGAAGCTCCCACCATGCAGGTGGAGCTGACTGACGAGGATGAAAGGACTGCACTGTGACCACGGATGGCCGGCCTATCACAATTATTGTCCAAAGAGACTATATGAGCTATAGTCTAAACTCCTTAAACAGGGGATATATAGGGGATTATATAGGGGACTACTATACGGCTTATTAAAGGGGGATACTAGGAGTTTAGACAGTGGCTCATATAGCAAGCCCAAAAAGGAACTATACTTGGGAGCTTCTGCCTGAAGTTTAAGAGCCAACAAGACCCCCAAACCCTCGGACCCTGTTGTCCGCGACCCTCAGTCCTCGTCATCTTCTCCAGTATTTCGACCTTCCGAATGCATTGCAGTGCCATGCTAGAAGGTTTAGATTTGGAGGGTTAGGAGTTTTACTGCTTATCACGGGATGGATATTTTCTCGGGCCGGCTGCAATGTGCCTTTGTTTTTGAAAGCTTGTTGCATACCTCTGGTATCTCCGCGCAAGCCACCCCACAAGTCTTCTTGTGTATAGGTAATTAGAAAGTTCCCGAAACCTTTACAGCACGATGCGTCCCCCTAAACCCTGAAGCCTAAAACTCTAGAACCCTAAGATCCTAAACTGCCAAATTCACAAATGGTACTATGGTAACTCAATCGCTCCTTAGATCCCAACATACTCCTCGTATAACCGCAGTTACCATTTGAATTGTCCCGTTTCTTTTCATGTTTGATTCTCCATTATGATGGGACTATAGCTTCAGCCCGGTAATCCTCCCTAAGCCCGAAGCCCTAACCCTAAACAAACCCTAAGCCCTATAAACCCCATATCCTAACCCTAAAGCCACAACCAAAAGCCTATGGCAGCTTCATTCAGAAGCAAACCCTAAGGGTTCAAGCACTCAAAACTCATATACCTACCCAAACCCCGTACTACAAGTACTAGTACCCAAGTCCCATGTACCCAATAGTTGGGTACATGCCCTCCTAAACCTCAAAACTCAAACCCTCAACCCAGATGCAGGACCCCTCTCCACCTGGCAGCTTTGGAAGGCCGCCCCAAGGTCGCCACTGAAGGGGCGGGGTTTGGTGTAGGGGTATGGGCTTAGGGCTCAAGATTTTGGGTTCAGGGTTTAGGGTTCAGGCTCTTGAACTAGGGTCAGGGAGTTTAGGGCAGCGAGGCGCGGCCTTTCTCTTCTCCTCTCCTCCCCGTCGGGTCATGCCCTTTCAGTGCTTAATCCTTCACGTAGAGAATCATAGCTATGCACCCTCAGGGGCTCGCCCTCCCCCTAAGCCGGGCTCGTTCGAGCGTTTTTTTTTTCGGGCCAGCAAGCATTTTGAAAAGTTTAGGGTTCAGGATGTGCGGCTTTGAGTTCGGCATTCAAGGCTTAGAGCTCAAGGTTTTGGGTTAGGGTTGGGCGTTCTGGTGTTTGGAGTTGTCAGACAGTTGAAATACATGATGCAAAAGTAGTGTGGCAGTTTCACAAACTTGCCTGAAATGGGACTTGGAAAGAGAACAGCTCCAAAATGGTCTAAATTGTAATAGGCTGCACTGAGATTTCACGACCTGCTGCTGTTGTTGCTGGTGCTGGTGGCAGCGGTGGTGGCGGGGTGGCAGGGTGGCGGCAGTGGTTGTGGTGGTGGTGCTAATCCTGGTGCTGGTGCTGCTGCTGCTGC